TATTATTATTATTATGATGATGATGATGATGATGATGATGATGATGATGATGATGATGATGATGATGATGATGATGATGATGATGATGATGATGATGTCCGATCAGTAGCAGACCAAGGACAATGCTGAGGCAAACTTAGAGCTACCATCAAATTAGAAATGTATATTTCACAGAATGTCGGTTGTTGCCTTCCTTTAGAGTTTTAAAAAAATAATAACAAAAAAACAAAACAAAACCCAAAAAACAAACCAAACAGAATAAAACATGTTATGCCTCTTTCTTATAGTGCCATAGAACACTTGTCTTTCGTCTTTAAAGAAAAGCGTTACCGTTTGTTTTTTTCAAGACATCAGTTACGGAAGAGATTTTCTTAAAAAACAAAACCCCTACGACCTAGATCTGAGCATGACTTTAAACACTAGTCAGACGTTTCTAGCCCTGCTCCGTTTGAGTGGAGATTTGGTCTTCGTCTGATCTCATTCCGAAATACTTGCTCCAAGTCCAGACAGCCGCAAGTACGGTAGACAGCTGGGTTTTTGCCCTGTGTTCTCAAACACTCCAGGGCATTAGATGCGTACCGTGAATCTAAAGCACACAAAGCCTGAAGACATTTGAAGGGGCCGGCTCCATTAATACTACAATGGCAGCTGTTAGGGCTAATGGAGGAACTAAGCAGAACTGCCCATACTATGAGCCCCATCTTCCTTTTCGCTAAAAACTATGTCAGTTTCTCGGTTTTCGCTCTGTACTCTTCCGTCAAAATGGCGTCTTTATCATTCATTTTGGTCGTAGATTTAAAATGTTCCCCAAAACACACGAATCTTAAAACCCCTTACGTAATATACCTCTACAACAACTCTCACATTTCTCATATGCTTCTTGTTCTTGTCACTACCCCAGGCGCCTCTTCGGAGAGCCGTTATCTGGAGCTGTACAACTGGGTCAGCGGAAAAGCCTCCCCGGCCTTCCCCCAACCTGACAACTCCGGACCCCTGGATGTGGACATGCGTCTTACCAAACTGGATGTCGTTGATGTGGACAGTGCCAACAACCTGGTCACTTTGATCGCCAGAAGAAGGGTTCTGTGGGCTGACCGTAATCTGGCTTTTGACCAGGCCCTGTTTAACGTGTCCTGTGTGTATGCTGCGGCCACCAACATCTGGACTCCTGACAGTACCTTCTACAACTCTGCTAGCCAGGAGCATGTGTTGAATCGTGAGGTCATTGTCTTCGCCGGAGGTGAGTTGCTGGAAATTGAAAGAGTCCAGGTGACCATCAACTGTAATGTCAAAGGTGTGAACACCTACACTGGCGCCACCTGCCACCTCCAACTTGGCTCCTACGGTTTGGGAAATGAGCTGTTCCGTCTGAGAGAGCCCAAGGACAACTGGACCTTCCATCTGGAGTCGGCTTTCAACGGAGCCTCCCCCTACGAGCTTCTGTCTGGTGACGTCAGCAGATCTGTGGAGCCCTACGCTTCCGGTGACCCCGAGCAGCACTACTACGATGCCCTGACCTTCACCTTCAGCTTCAGAAGGAAGTGGGGCGGTCAGTAAATCTGGGGTGGGTTGATCAACTCTTGTCTGTCTGATGATTGACTCCCATCGTCTGTTTGTTTTGATGGAGAAATTCCCTGAACTTGTCTCCCCTGATACGGAAGATATTTACCGAAATAGGGACAAAACATTGGCGTCTTATACAAGGCGTGGTCTACAATGCGAACGAAAACTGGATCACATTTTTCAAGTGCAAGAAACACTTTTGATATGAATATCCTGAAATAAACGAGGGTGAAATCTACATTGTGTTCCATGCTGCTTTGTATTGCTTCACACACTGTCTTGTATTGTGTACATAATCTGTTGTCTTGTTTTTCACACTCTCTTGTGTTGTTTTACAAACTGTTTGTATTGTTTATACACTGTCTTGTATGGTTTTACAAAGGTCTTGCTTTTTTTTTTTTACATAATATGTAAAATATATTTATAGTCTTGTATTGCTTTCCACACTGTTTTGTGCTGTTTTACACACTGTGTGATGTGTTGTGGTTAATTCCTCGTTCCAGTTGCACATAGTGGAGTTTGTTCAGGTTCTTAAATTTTCCTTTTCAGTTTTGCTTCTTTTATTGTCTCTATCTGTTCTGTTTGTTTTTTGTTTTTTGTTGTTGTTGTTTTTTTTTTTTCTTTTTTCCTTTTTATTTATTTTATATTGGGTTTTTAAAAATTCTTCTCAGTTTTCCTTGGGGGGGGGGGGGGGGGGGGGGTGCATTTTATCTTATTACATTTTTACTTTTCTTTTGTTTTACTTGTAACCCATCCATACAAAAATCTCACAAAACGGATGTTAATCTTTCTGGATCCCATAGTCAGCACAGTCTTCTGCCCCAGCGTGCCGGTCATTTACAGGTGGTTGTTCTATCTCTAGTTTTAGTCAGAGTTTTAAAGCACTCGCGACACAGATCATCATATAGGTGACGGAGATAAAAGGTGTTACCAGAGAGCAACATGCAAAGAAAGAAGAAAGAGAAATGAAAGGGAATTGTAAGGCAGCGTGGTGGAATCAGACTCTCGTCAAAATAATGAAATCAAAGAAAACAGCAGTTTTCTCCCTACTTAGCAATTTTCATCAAATTTTTATTTTTTGGCTCTACACCTTTTATGTCCATTTACAAACATATTCCTTTGAGGATTTCACCGAAAACGTTGATTAAAGGCACAAAAATATAAATTTACAGTTTCAATGGACTCTCCAGCTTTGGAATTTACCAAGTTTTGGCGGCCATTTTCTCGCTAATTTCAATTTCTATTGAAGATGGATGGGTAATTTTTTCATTGAAAGCAAGACAAATGAACAAGCTTTAAGATGATACCAATAATTCAATATGCCCAAAAATTGTCGAGAGCCTGATTCCACCACGCTGCCTCACAATTATGTTTTAACAGAAACAAGAAGCAAACCACGTCAGAGGAGCCGTCAACCACCAACAGGAGATTTGTTTCTATCGTCTGCTGGACCCCTTCGCAAAGTAGGGCCGTCTGCCTCCCTGTCAGTCCAAGATGACAAAGGGAAGTCGCGCGCTCATATGACCTTATGCAGTTGCGAGCGCCGTAAAACCGCGTACTTAACAAACAAAAAGGGAGTCACTGCATGAGTATCTGTCTTTGGGTGCCCACCTGGGCTGCATCCGGGCTACTCATAGGCTGACCATGGGCGATCTCATGTCGGCTGCTTCTGTCATCCAAGTACAAAACACCACTAGGCACAAACTTAAAGTACTAAGTGGGGCCCATTGCCAGCCCAAGTCAGGCCCACATTGGTCCATCTCAATGTGCAAATCTTTAAAAAAAATATTTGTGTTGAACACCAGCACAGTTTCACAGTGAGTAGAGACGGCTATCTGGGACAATTCCAAATCTGTAGTAAAATGTCTATATTGACAGGGGGACAAGGGAACTAACTCTAGACAAACTAACTGCGTGGGTTGTACTTACTGTAGAGTTGTCTACCTTTATTGTGGGCTGGCCGGGAATTATGACGTCATTGTCACACAATTCGCGTACGGTCAGGAATAGAAGCAGAAACTTGTTGTTGTTGTTTGTTGTTGTTGTTGTTGTTGTTGTTGTTGTTGTTGTTGTTTGTCTGTTTTTTTGCGGTAAAGATCTGTTTCTTTCAAAGGCACCTTTTACGAAAGAAAATAACTGTTTGGTTGAATCTAAGTTTGAAAAACAAACAAACAAACAAACAAACAAACAAACAAACAAACAAACAAACAAACAGCCCTTAAGCCTGCCACATACGACGCAATTCCTGATCTCAAGATGGTCTCAAGATGGTCTCAAGATGGTCTCAAGATGATCTCAAGATGGTCTCAAGATGGTCTCAAGATGGTCTCAAGATGGTCTCAAGATGGTCTCAAGATGGTCTCAAGATGAGCTCGAGATGATCTCAAGATGGTCATGAGATGGTGTCAAGATGGTCTCGAGATGGTCTCAAGATGATCTCAAGATGAACTGACGATCGGATCCGTGAGCGCTCTCATTTGTGCCCACACACTACACAGGCCAGCAGATGATCAAAATGGCTCCCACCCAAAGTGAAGTATCTGCAGCCTGTATAGTTTTAAGTATTTCTCTACACAAAAAAGGCAAACAAATTATGGTGCAAACAATGGCTTCTTCGGCGGGAAAAATTCCCCCACACGCACCTTTTATTACTTTTAAAGGAATTAACATTGTACTCTGTGGATTACACAAATCATTTACGTATGGACGAGGACACATATCATCGATTACTTCAGATAGTAGGTCCCCTTATAAAAAAACAGAACACGTAAATACGACAGTCAATATCACCCCTAGAAAGGCTGACGGCAACTTTGAGGTATTTAGCGACAGGCTGAACATAATATGAAGATCTGAAGTTCAGTACGTGTATTTATTTCACCGCAAGCTTTGGGTAGAATAATTCCAGAAACCGTTTGAGCAATTTACCAACTACCAGTCTCTTGTAATCACAGTGGGTGTGGTGCACTCACACATACACACAACAAGACAGGACATTACAAACATACATGTCTCACGTGCTGAAACAAACCGCTCCGTACACATTCTCTCTCTCTCTCTGTCTCTCTCTCTCTCTCTCTCTCTCTCTCTCTCTCTCTCTCTCTCTCTCTCTTTCTTTCTTTCTTTCTCTCTCTCTGTCTCTCTCTCTGTGTGTGTCTCTCTCTCTTTCTTTCTCTCTCTCTCTCTCTCTCTCTTTCTTTCTCTCTCTCTCTCTCTCTCTCTCTCTCTCTCTCTCCATCTCTCTCTCTCTCTCTCTTTCTCTCTTTTTTTCTTTTACTCTCTCTACCTATCTCTCTCTCTCTGTTTTATTTGTAGCACTGTGTGTTCAGTAACCCTCATTACATTGTTGCAAAAAAAATTATATCTGTCTGTTCTTGCAGGATTGTGTCAGACTTTGGGTAGTTCAGATTAACACATTGTGGTCTGTCTGTCAAAAATTCCAGGACCCATGCAACGATAAAATGACGATAATTGACTCAATTGTTTTTAAATGACAATATTGTTGAATTGCATTGAATACTGAGGAAATATCAGCAAAAAGTACCCTCGTATACGTTGATTTTTCCTCAGCATTCAATACAATTCGACTGCATACTGTCTTGACAAAAAAAATAGCTGGCTCACGCAAAGAATACTTTATTACCATTACTACATCAAAAATGATGAAATAGTATCTGTTTAACGCCCCTTCAACACTTTTAGATCAAACGTTTGATTGCAGTGTTTTGTATCAAATTTGACGCTAATGAAGATTCTGATGTCAGATTAACAAAATTTTGACTTTGGCACCCATTTATTTTTAACGTCAAGTACCCTGATCTCAGATCCAACAGATGATTTTCAGGCTCGTTCTGAATTCAAGCGATCTCACAGTTTGTTGAGATTTTTAACTGAGCAGTCCGGATTTTGGTTTTGAGATATCTTGAGATCTTCTTGAGATCTTCTTGAGACCATCTTGAGATCATCTTGAGATCGCGCTTAGTTGATATTGAGATCATCTAGAGATCATCTTGAGATCACGTTCAGTTGGTCTTGAGACCATCTCAAGACGGGCGCACCCTTTCAACTCCGTAGTGAGTGGCGAGCTCTAGGCCTGAGCAATCTGCCGCAAGGACGTCACAGCACGTGGGCACGTGGAAAGCAGGGAAAACTCACCAGTAACCTCGGCTGATCACCGCTCAAATCACGGGATTGTTTACTCAACTACATTAGCGCACGTGGAGCGAGACTCTAAATTAAAAAGGTTTTTTTATGACTGCCTTTCTTACATTGTTGCTACTCAAAGAAGTCAGAGGTGTCGTCAAGCTGAGGAGTTTTGAATCATCTCTCATAATAATTGGATGTTCCCTTGTAAGTTTTGTGTTTGAAATCGCTTTGTGTCAACGATATCTCGAGTGGACAAAGTTTATTGGCGGCAGTGAGAAACGCATGGAAAACGTATGGAGGACGAGTATTGGGAGAAGGAAGGACTTCAATTCATCCAACCTAGAGCAGTCATCAACCCATGTGAAGACTCGTCTGACTCGCTGACAGGACAAAGGTAGGCCAATGCTTAGACTACTTACTTCTTAAGTTCCTGCCACATTTTGTTCAATTTTTTTTTGTTCGCCCTGAATACGCACATCTTTTCGTGTTTGTATTATAGAATCTAGATTCTAGATATTGTAAGCACTGCATTTTAATGTGATGTACTAATGACAAAGAGTAATATATTAACCAGTCACTGATTAGCTACATAGATCTAGTATAAACAGCTGCAGATTCTACGCCCTGCTCACAGCCGAACGCTCCGTATCCCGGACTCTAGCATGGAGATCATCAGGAGAGAATGAGTCGCTGTTCCGGGCTCTTCCTCTCTACAGCTTTTCTGACGCACCGAGCCCTCTCACCCCCTCCCATCTATCACCGATGTGAGGTCTCCATGCTAGCCCCACTGTTTTCCTCTGCTGCCAACTTTGATTCATTCCAACCTGCGTCCTCTCTCTTCAACCAGATCCAGTGACTGGCTTTCTCTACTATGATTTCGTTACTTTTCTTTGTAGATCTTCATACTGCCCCACTGCGTAGGTGATTCTCTTTCGTACCTCAGCATTTAAAACGTGGTCTTTGTACGAGATGTCAAAGAGTCTGCGGTAACATCTCACCTCTGTGGTCTGAATCTTTTTCTCTAATTCTGCTGTCAGTGTCCACGACTCGCAGGCGTATAAAAAATAAAACCCTCTACTAAAACTCGAAAAC